GGGGTGGATCTCATTTTTGGTAATTGGTTATGTGGGGGACCCACGGGTTTTGGGCACGTGTGGGCTTTTTGCCCATTGCCTCGTGTAAAAACCAGCTAATGGTTTTGGTTATGTGGTTGAAGTGGGGCCCATCCACTATTCAACTTTTTGGTGGTGGGGCTTTTGTGTAGCTTAATTGCTGGGCTAGTTGCCCTTTAAAAAAATTCGGTTCTATTGTTGTTTAGCCATGGGTATGAGCTGACGTGGTAAATTTTTGAATCTTGCCCATATATTCTTTTCCAAGTTTTCATCTATTATTCTGGATGGTAGAGGTTGCTTGGGAATAAAAAATGAATATATGGGCAATTTGCAATCTTTTTATGCTTTATTCTTTAGGTACCCTGGTTTGGGGATTGCGATTATTAGTTTTTTTATATATATTTGTTTTATTTGTAATAGTTTCCCCCTCCATTAGGGGGTAGCGCGAGATTCTATGTATTACCTGGGGTATGCCCCTTATAAATGTGTAAACTTTTGTCTTTAATTTATGATTTACCCACTAAAAAAAAAAAAAAAAAAGCATAAACCAGCAAAAGTCAACTGGTTGCAAAAATTAGGCCCACAATAATATATAATCATATAAGTCCACCATGGGCCTAATATCATCAACAAAACCATAGCCCACTAACAAATTAAGTGAATCCAACGAGAATGACTGCCATACAAACTCATCATGGCCCACACTACATGACATGTTTATATATAATATATATAAAACTCACATGGTTTGACCTCAATTGACAGCCTGCCCACCATTACAACAAACCAAGCCGACAAAATCCTTAGAAAATCCTGCACCACGTGATGGACCACAGCTATACCTACCACAAGCTACCGTCTGCAATTGTAGCAGGAACATCACTCATCACACTTTGCATATCAAAAAAATCACGCATGGACAACTCTGTAAGCTTACAGAAGCAACACACACGCGACAAACTCGAGCGTGAAAACACGCCCAGATACAAACTGCACCAAACACCGTCGGTGGAAAACCAGCATCGCAGAGTCAAAACTCGCTGGAATAGAGACAGCCTGAGCCGGAGTAAAACCAGCACCAGCGACTCGACCACTGGCGACGTCATAACCGGGAACAACCCAACAGACTCCATGCCCCAGCAGTCACCACCCCGAATCTCCGGCAGCAGCACCTACAGGTGAAGAGATGAAATACCAGAATTGGTCACTCTTTTATTAGATGAGCCGAGGCCAGAGTATGAACCCGCAACAGAACAAAGAAACGATCCATTACAACCACATTCAGAGCCACACCCCAGAACTTACGGACATAAATAGCCATGGCAGAACAGGAACCTCACCTGCCATGGTTATCCTTCAGAACAAAGAGCCCCGACCTACAAATTTCGACTAGCGAAACACCATTACCGAATTGGAAAGGTCACAGACTGAGCAATAGCCGGAGCGGCAGCAGCCACGACAAATAGAAAGTTAAGACCACCTCCAGCGTGTCCACATCAACGTTGGAGGTGGTGAACAAACAGACCCACTACGTTGGAGCAATCCATTGTTCTAAGAAATCAAGCTTAAAACTTGGTAGCAATAACCAACTTCAGGCAACTATATATATCAGAACTCAACGCTTCACACTCTCACAGAGAGCAATCCGGCGAGAGCTAAACTCTGGCAATGACCCTTCATTACCGACCATTCATGCAATAATTTCAAAATAAAACACCCCAGAGAAATCACGACAGCAACGAACCACAAAAACATGTCAAACCCTCCTAAATCTGGATAGAAATAAGACCAGAATTAGCAACAACATATAGCATAAACCAAACTTTTTTTTTTGGGTGAATAAGCATAAACATAAACCAAACTAGACAAAGAATCTGATAAGGAACCCTTAAAACTCCATGGGTAACAACGGAGGGAGCTTTCTCACATGGGGCCCAATTATGGTTACAAAATTTGCCATGACCCAAACCCGCCTCTAGAGGTATGATCATAACCGGCCAGTAATCATGAGATGACCTACGGCCTCGAACAGAAATTCAAAACATAATTAAGTATATAGGGCCAGAAGCAGAAGCAAATAATACAATAATCATAAAATTGTCCAATGAGCTGTGTGTAACTGGCATGAACAGAAATTCCATATGTTAATAACCCACATCCAAAACATACTGGTACATACATGATTACATTTTACAAAAGATATACTTGAGTATAAGTCATAGTTATACAAAACCCAACTCTCTTAAGAACAAAACATGATCAAACATGACCAACAAAAACAAAAAGACAAAAGACAAATCCAAGAGGCACTCTGTGGCTAACATTACTAAAGTTGGGTAAACTTCCACATGTTCACTAGGGCTAGACATCTTGCTACCCACCTACATATATATATATATATATATATAATGGAGTGAGCTAAAACCCAGTGAATAACATCAAACTAAAGGGGTTTCATGAGTGAGTTCCAATACTTAAAGATAAACATTCTTGTATCAAATTCATTTCATACTAGAATGACCTCTGGTCTAGTTTATAACAGATATGAAAGATGTAGAGAACAGTGCAGATTATAGCTTAACGGAATGACCTTAGGTCTAATTTAGTACAGTAGTATCAGATCAATATAATGACCACTTGGTCATACACATTTCAGATATTCCAAACTTATCAAATATGCAGAATGACCTTGGGTCTATCTTATCAGCTATTCAGAATGACCTTGGATCCATCATACACATTTATACTTTCAATAGCATATTAGTCGTACAGATGGAGGCTTATTCATATTTGAGAAATCATAAGTTCAGAAAACCATATTACATTAGAACATGTAGAAAATAAATCATACGAAGATTTTACTCACAGTGATTAGATTGTTGTCATGTCTCTGTGGATCAACCTACACAATGCATAAACATATACACTAGGGTGCTTAGCGGATATAGCGATCCGCCCAAACCAACCGAACCAAACCGATCCGTTGCATTTTGGACCGATGCGTGATGACAAGCAGACGAATAAGGATTGATTTTGTCCAACCTACCTAGTTTTGGATGCATAATGGATTGGAGGTTCGCAGGCCACAATCGAACCACGAGCACCCCAACCAAATTCTATTTTTGAAATACTCACCTACTATTCTATTACTTTTATTTTTCTTTTTTAACCTATACACAAATATAGATATATATATACACACTTGGGTATGTATGAATGTATGTACTCTATGCTTTTTGGAATTTGGACAACTTCTCTCAAACAACTGCCTGGTAATCTCTTTTGGGTTTTCGCAGTCATTGTTAAGATAGAGGTTTGTTGGATTATTATCCATATTTGTAATCATTATTATTAAGATAGATTGGATTATTATCCAAACAAAAAAGTAAAATAATTTATGTCGACAAGTTTTATTATGTTGAAAATCTATAAAATGTAAACTACCAAACCGACTTGTATCCATTCACCAATTCGCTAATTTGCTCAATTCACATCCGCCAATTTGGTGGATGATTGCAAATTAATTTTCTCCGCTCTGCCTAGTTTTGGACAGATGGCAAATTGGAGGTTCCCAGGCCGTAATCGAACCGCGAGCACCCCTAATATACACACATTGGAACACATAGCTTAATCGAATCATTCCTCTCTTAATCAATTTCTTTAAGTCCAAGTCTTACTCACTAAGTCATTCATGAAGCTTATTTCATACCTAAGAATGCTCGAAAAGAAATGAGAATGCAAATATGTTCAAAACACAACTTTTCAAAATAGGCTAAAACAAGGCAGTTCACTCAAACAGTCTGCATGGTCTATAAAAGTACTAGATGCTCGAAATCTAGGCTCAATGGGCGCTCGAGCCTCGTGCAATGAAAACTAAGGTCACCCGAGCTAACACTTGGTTGCTCTAGCGGTATGCCAAACTCTGCAAAACTACTGGATGCTCGCAATGTGTGCTCGAGCGGTAACTTCATCGCTTGAGCGATGAGGACGAATTCTGGGTTTTCAAAACATGAAGAAAAATTCTCCAAACTTAATTTCAAAGCAAAACATCTTGCATGACATGCTCTAAATCATGAAAGCACTTCCAAAAATTGAACATATGACTAATGTCAAAACCTTAGATCAAAACTTCATGAATTCATTAAAATGAAACTCAAATCTTCATGTATGTATGAATTTGTATCAAATTTTTTTCCACAACTCAACATGAGTTTAAACTTCAATTCATTACAAATCATCAATGCATGTATGATTTAACTCCTAATTCCAACATAGATAACAAATACCATGATCAAAATGATGAATCTCTACAAAGTGATGCATGCATGCATGTGTAGTTCAATTTAACTCATCTTAAGCTCATTTCTTACAATTAATCGTAATTCCTCCATGAATTCTTTAGCTAAATGACTTGATTACATGAATTTGGGAGTAAATGTAAGAATTTTTCTTAAATATGGCTTAATGTGACTTATACATGATCATACTAGATTCATCTCATAAAGCAAGATACATGTACATCAATTAGATGGTGACTAATCATTGATGAATGCACCTATATATACATAATGTATAGGAGACTAATGGAGATAGTGTCAATGCATTGAATGTGATAGATTCATTATGAATAAATCTTAGATATGCATTATGTATCTATTATGAATGTAGAAGATATGTTAATCTATCTAATGAGTTCATTATTATAGAAGATGCATTATGTATCATGAATGTAAAAGATACATTAATCTATTTAATGAAGTTCATTGAATGAATAGATTCTTTGATGGGAAGAATACTAGTATAAATAGTATAAGGTCCCACACCACACTCGCTATCACAAAACTCAAGTTGTCACCATAAGAAGGCTCCCATCGCCTAAAGAGAGAGAAAAGTGGTTTGAAGATCTTAGACAAATAAAGAACTTGAAGATCAAGGTCTTCTATTCATGGTTTCTCTTTCTCAAAAGAGGTTTTCATACTATCATGGATCAAGGTACGTATACACTTATTTTGTATAGTTGAAATTCATATAGTTTTCATATATAGAATTGAATCCTTAATGGTTTTTAGTTTATGTTTCGCAAAGTTTTCTATCAATTGGTATCAGAGCCTTTGTTCTCAATTCTGATGCATGAAACATATAAGTATGAATTTCATTTTAGGATGATGTTTTGTGTAACAAGTGCATAACCTTTATTTACACTTGCCCAATTTTATTTTTATTTTTGGCCAATCTTTTATTCTATTGATATTAAAATAAAAATTGAAAATTATTAAACAAGTGGTAATTAAGATAATGTTTTATGCACTTATAATGTTTTGCTACACACCTTATGAGTAGAAACATTGTTGATCAACCCAACGGAGGTTCAACAATATGTATGTTTGAACAACCGAGATGACTAGTATAATAAATATAGCAATAATTTTTTATGCGCAATGGTGATAAACGTCTCACATGCTTTAGTTAATAAAATAAAATAAGTGACATTGAGTTTTTCTGCCCAACGGTGATAAACTCGTTATGGTCCTAATGATTATTTTATTTTATGTTGTTTATTTTTATTAGTTATCTCATTTACTTTTATGAATTGCTAAAATGTATTGTTATTCGGCCCAACAGAATGTTAACTTGATTTCGTGTCTAACTAATTATGTTTTCTAGTTAGATATGTTTAACTTGTGGTGTTATTTTTATTCATGACATGCGAAAAGTAGTTTTCTTGATTATATTATGTAATGGATATTATGTGTTTGCAGCATTGAATCCTACTGCAATTAATAGTTACTTGTCTGCTATTGAAGCTTTGAGTGGAACTAATTTTAAGAAATGGAATGAGCAAATTGGAATTATTTTGGGAATTATGGATTTAGACTATGCATTAAGAGAGCAAGCACCTACAAAGCCTAATGATACAAGTTCTAATGAACAAATGGCTTTATATGAAAAATGGGAACGCTCTAATCGCTTAAGTCTAATGATTATGAAAGGCTCAATTATGCCTGCAATTCAAGGAGCAATCCCTATTTCTGAAAGTGCAGTGAACTATATGAAATCTATTGAAGAACAATTCATTCGAACTTCCAAATCCCTTGCTAGTACTCTTATGATTAAAATGATGACAATGAAATATGATGGTTTGAGTGGTGTTCGTGAACATATCTTAAAAATAAATGACATGGCCTCTCAATTACAAGGAATGGACATGTAAATTTCTAAAGGTTTTCTGACTTCTCTTCGTGCGCAATTTGGTCCTTTCAAGATCAATTATAATACGCAAAAAGATAAGTGGAAGATGAGCGAGTTAATTGCCATGTGTGTTCAAGAAGAAGAGAAGCTTAAAGCTGAAAACCCTGATATCGCTCACCTTACCACCATGGGTCCAACCAAAAAAATATCAAGAAAGGCAAAAGTAAGAAGAAGAAGAATGCAAATGATGAAACTCACAAGGCTAATGAAGAAAATAAGATCCGATGCCATTTCTGTCAAAAGAAATGTCACATAAGAAAAGACTGTCCAGGTTTTAAAAGTTGGTTGGACAAGAAAGGTGACACTCAATGCTTTGTGTCTTATGAATCCTTTTTGTTAGATGTTCTACCACATTCTTGGTGGATTGACATTGGAGCATGTATTCACATAACAAATTCCATGCAGGGATACCTTACAAGTCGGAAACTAAATAAAGGACAACGAACCATTACGGTTGGGAATGGAATAGAAGTGGATGCTGAGGCTATTGGCATCCTCTATCTAATTTTAGACTCTGGTTTCATTTTAGATTTAGTAAACACAGTTTATGTTCTTGTTTTTACTAGAAACCTAATTTCTGTTTCACAACTTGATTCTTGTGGTTATGAATTTAAGTTTGGAAATAATTGAGTCTCTTTATTCCACAATTCTTATATGATTGGTTCTGGTACTTTATATGGTAATCTTTATTCATTGAATTTAGATTCCACTTATGCACAATCTCTTTTATCCTTTCATCTAAACGACTCGGTAAATAAAAAAAGAAAGCGAGTGAATGAAAAATCATCCATGTTGTGGCATAAGCGCTTGGGTCACATATCAAGAGAAAGGATGGAACATCCTATTAAAGACGGAATTTTAAGTTCACTTGATTTTTCTGATTTTAGTACTTGTGTGAATTGCATTAAAGGGAAATACACAAAGACAAAGAAAAAGGGTGTTACTAGGACTACTGAATTATTAGCCACAATTCATATTGATATATGTAGTCCCTTTACTGTTCCAACTATTTATAGACATAAACATTTTATTACTTTTCTTGATGACTTTTCTAAGTATACTTATGTGTATCTTATTTGTGAAAAACCAGAAGCACTGGATATATTCAATCTCTATAAAGCTGAAGTTGAAAATCAACTAGATAGACAGATTAAAAGTGTAAGATCTAATAGAGGCGGTGAATATTATGGTAGATTCACTGTGTCGGGTCAAAATCCAAGTGGTTTTGCTTTATTTGTAGCTGAGAATGATATTATTGCTAACTACACATGAGCAAAATCGTGTAGTTGAGTGACGAAACCGTACTCTTTTGGACATGATGAGTAACTCTTCTTTGTCAGATTACTTGTGGGGTGAAGCCTTAAAAACTGCTATACATGTTCTTAATAGAGTTCCTAGTAACGTTATGCATGTAACTCCTTTTGAGTTGTGGGTTGGTAGGAAACCTAATTTGAATTATTTACATGTATAAGGTAGTCATGCCGAAGCAAAAAATTTTAACCCACAAATAAAGAAATTAGACCCTAGAACTACAAGTCGTTATTTCATTGGATATCTTGAGAGATCAAAGGGTTTTAGATTCTATTGTCCCACTCATAGCACAAGAATTGTTGAAACTAGAAATGCTATGTTCTTAGAGGATGAAAACATTAGTGGGAGTATGAATCTCAAAAATGTTTCTTTGGAGGAAAATCGTGCTTTTACGCCTTCCACAATTATCCAAGAAAATGATGTGCCTGAACCTATTATGGATAATGCTGGTACTCAAGAGATTTCTCACATTGAAAAAGAAGTTGTCCTAGTTGCAGAACAACCTTTACGCAGATTACAAAGGGAAAAGAAACCAACCATGTCAGATGACTATGAGGTTTACCTAAATGAGTGTGATATAGGCTTGGAGAACGATCCCCGTTTCTTATGCCCAAGCCATGAAAAATGGAAATGCAACTCAATGGTTAAATGCCATGAAAGATGAGTTAAAATCCATGAAAGACAACAATGTTTGGGATCTTGTAGAATTGCCTAAGGGAGCCAAAACTATTCGATGCAAATGGGTTTTTAAAACCAAGCATGATCCTAAAGGCAATATCGAAAGATACAAGGCCAGATTAGTTGCTAAAGGATACACTCAAAGAGAAGGGATGGACTATAAGGAAACTTATTCCCCTATTTCTAGTAAGGATTCCTTGAGAATATTCATGGCCTTAGTAGCTCATTATGATTTAAAGTTACATCAAATGGACATTAAAACAGTCTTTTAAATGGTGACTTGCGTGAAGTGGTCTACATGGATCAACCTGAAGGTTTTCAGGTTGAAAGTAAGGAAAATATGGTTTGTAGGCTTAAGAAATCCATATATGGTCTAAAGCAGGCATCTCGACAATGGTATCTTAAATTTCATGAAGTTCTCACCAATTTGATTTTAAGGATAATGTGGTTGATCAATGTGTCCACCTTAAAATCAGTGAGAGGAATATCTGCATTACAGTTTTGTATGTTGATGATACATTGCTTGTTAGCAATAATTTGGGAATGATACATGAGACAAAGCAATTCTTTACGAGGAATTTTGAAATGAAAGATCTTGGTGAAGCCTCTTTTGTCATTGGGATAGAAATTCGTCGAGATAGGTCTTGCGGTATTTTAGGATTGTCCCAAAGAGCCTATATCAAAAAGGTTCTTAAAAGGTTCAACATGCAGAACTGTTCAAGTAGTGTTGCCTCTATAGTAAAGGGTGATAAATTTAGTGAATTTTAGTGTCCTAGATATAATTTAGAAAGGGAACAAATAAAAGAAATTCCTTATGCCTCTGCAATTGGGAGCATTATGTATGGTCAAGTTTGTACATGTCCTGACATAGCATTTGTAGTTGGTATGCTTGGTCGATACCAAAGCAATCCCGGGCTTGATCATTGGAAAGCAGTTAAGAAAGTGTTGTGATATTTACATGGCACTAAAGATTACATGCTCAATTATCAAAGAACAGATAGCCTTGAAGACTAATGGAGATAGTGTCAATGCATGGCCTAATCATTGATGAATGCACCCGTATATACATAATGTATAAAAGACTAATGGAAATAGTGTCAATGCATTGAATGTGATAGATTCATTATGAACAAATCTTAGAGATGCATTATTGTGGAGAAGTAGGTTTGGAAATACTCTTGGATCCTGAAGGGCGTTCCTGATCCACTGATTGCCACTTGAAAAAGGGATTAACACTCCAGTCGGGGGTGCCGGAATTAGCACTTCGACGGACAAGTTAGTATAGGTCTCTTGTTTGGCTTGTGTCTTAAGTTTCTTGGGTCTGTTCTCACATATCTTTCTTTGGTTGATGTTCCTCTATTTCTATTCGCTTTTGGGCCCCAAGGTTCGGCCCACTCTTAATCCATCGCATGATTGCTCATTCGGCCCCTTCTGTCATATGCCAATTCCCACTCGGCTTTTTGTTCAACTAGTTCTATGGCCGATTAGTCTATTCGGCTTTGGGATCATCCAGCACGGAGCCGAATATAATATATATCATGATTTTCTTCAGATGTATTAGGCTTTCCTACATATACTGATATTCGGCTCCCACAATTGCCCCCTAAACATCCTACTAACACTAGTTAGTCGGCGTGTTTGGTTTCGAACTTGAAAAGTCAAAAAATACAACAGTTAACCTCATTCCAATGTAAGTGTCAAAACACATACGCTTTTTAGGCATCATTACAATTTCCCACCCCTTCGTACGCTTCCTTCATTTAATGCGATTTAAAACTATGTTGTCCCTTCGAATGTATGCTTTTTGAATATGCAAAGTTTTTGGTTTGCCTTTCAATATACCTCCTTCATTTCGCGACCTCTACAACTTCCTCCCGTTTCTCATTGTCTTCTTCGTTTCTTGTAAGTTCTTTTCTCCTTCATTTCGAATCCCATTTCCTTGTTTGTTTTTAGCTTAGCATACTCCCTAAACTAGCTAGGATGGCAAAACATTTGAAAGCCCTTCTTTTTGCGGATCGAGTTTCTGGTTTTTGATGCCATTTTTCAATTCCTGACAACATCCACCTGTCACTCGTGGTAGAGAGCACAAATGATATGGAGAGGACTGATGAGAGTACAATCATCTTTCCTCTCCTATCAATTGTTGAGGGCAGAGTTCGTTTCCCCCTTCACCCATTTTTAAGGGTCGTCCTTCGCCACTGGGGTCTAATCCCTTCCCAACCTAATGTAAATTTTTACCGAATCAAAATGGGAATTGTAAAGTTGAACCGACGCCTTCGGATCAATCTTGGTATTCTTGCTATTCGGCATTGTTATGCCTTGGCCAAATCTTCTGGCCGGCAGGGGTGCTACTTTCTCAGGCCTAAGGACACCGACTATCATTTGGTGACTATGCTTGCCAGCTCTGACAAGTGTGTTGATGATGTCATAGTTGTTGTCTGAGGCAACTGAGAATTCGGCGAGGGCGAAGATTGCCTAGATCCTATGCCTAGCCGAAAAGGCAAACCAAGTGGCCGTATACTTCCATACGTGTATTTGCTATATATTTACCTGGCTTTCCTTCCATGTACTTATCATTTTATTTATGCAGGCAACAATTTGAAGAAAGTTCTGGTTTCGGCCGACAACGCTGTGCTTGCAGAAATCAAAACCGCACTCCAGTTCTTTGGCTGTCCAAACCTCCAGAAGCAAGGGAGGGCGGTCCACATACTTCTGAGATACGAGCTGACTTACTCAACCTTTTCAGCCGCAGACAACATTCCGATTCCAAGGGGCGAACAGCAGCTCCTGACCTTTATCTTCCCTAACTTCAAAAACCTCAGGTAGATTGGTTTTGAAGCTTCTGATTAGGAGCGGGCAGAAGAACATGTAGCCAAAGAAGTCGTCAAGCAGCCAAATCAGTCCACCTTGGTAGTCGAAGAAGTTGATGAGGCTCTAAACTTGGCTTTTAAGGAAGCCAGCCTTAATCCATCCAACCCTCCATCCACTTCAAGCCGAGGGGACGTCTCCGTTGAAGATACTTTTACCGACTTAGGGGACCTTCCCGACATGTATCCTGAAAACATGATTGGGGAGTTGCTCATGCAGCTGGCCAGGAGAAAAAATGCCGAAAGGATGGCCACCCGGAAGAGGGCCAAGACCAACCTATCTAAACCTCCCCCTGCTGTCGTGACTGAGTCTTCTCCACCTGTTACTGTGGAAGAAACAACTTAGATTGAAACAGCCGTGACAGAGCAGATTGTCGAACAGGGGAACTAGGAGGCCGAGCAGAGGGGGGAAAGGCGTCCCGCCAAGCACGAAGCCGACTCTGAGGAAAACCTAACCGATAAATGGCCGCACATAGAGGAGTCGGACTCGGTTGTGCCATTCATCATTCAACCAAGGATAAAGAACATGTCGATTGCTTCTGATGCGTCGGCCCTGAAAGATCCGGCAGTGTCCTTGAGCATGGCTTCCTCAATTTCCCTGCCGATTGACAGAGCTACTTTTCGGGCGGAGCCAGATTTGCTGTCAATAGCATTAGCCGCTCAATCGGCCATATTGGTACATGACTTGAGCCTTATCTTTAGTCTTCTACCTATATTTTTTATTTCTATTTTTTAACTCTAATTCCTTGTTTTGCAGACGGTGGGCAGGATAGCCAAAATCGGTCGCCGTCAATATGATGCTATTGAACAGATCAGCTTTCTGAAAGCTAAAATTGAAAATGAAAAGAGCAAGGCCATGGAGGCCTCTCAAAGAGCCGAGTCTGAGGCGGGGTAAGCGGTGGAGGAACGTGCAAGAGCCGACACCAAGGCAGAAAAGGCGAAGAGTTCCAACCAGCTCAGGTTAGCCGCCGAAGAGAGGGAAAACGCGAGCAAAGACGCGCTCAAGTTAGCCAAGGAGGTGATTGCCAAACTGGAAGCCAATTTGGAAGAATCGAAGAAGGCAAAGGAAATAGTCGACTCCGAGATTTCCAAAGCGTTCCAAGTTGGGAAGGACGCCGCCTTGGAGAACTACGTAGAGGAAATACCCAAGTTCGAGAATCGAGGCTTCAAACATAGCTGGCTCAAAGCCCTCACTGCTGCTAATGTGACATTGGCACAGCTGATTCCATACGAGCAGGTGGACATTAAGCCGCTGGAGTCTGACCCTAAAGATTGACCAGGGTGAAATTTTGATTTTTGTTAGGCATCTTCCATGCATAGTTTTTGTAATTTTTGTTAGTAGATTTTTGTTTGTTTACTTTAGTTAGAAGTTGAATGTTGGGTAATTTTCATGTGTAAAATGACTAGTTTTTGTAC